ACATTTAGCTCACCTGACCTTTACGACACCCCCACAAGGTGGACAGTGCCTGTGATCCAGGGTTGACCAGGTTGGTCAAGATGGAGGTGCCTGGGGGAAGAGAGGGTATTCCCTCTCACTGGACAGCAGTCTACACCCCCACAGCCCCTCCTTAGCTGAGTTGTATTTTGGACTCCTGCCTAGCCTCACTCGGGGCTTGCTCTTCTGAGTCACATGTTAACGACATTCAAGGCCATTGCTTCAAGCCAGGCTATGCAGGGTCGATGGCCCATGGAGGCACATACAGAGGGTGTGCCAAGGGAGAGGCAGGAAGGGGCAGGGGAGGCTCCACAGAGCCCGAAACCTTCTGCTCTGTTTGTCTGCCCGGGGATATTCAGGTGCCCCTGAGATAGTCTAGCATCTCCCTCAAGGTTGTGAGGTGATGCAGAGCCCCAGGCAAGCTGGAAGTTTAATTTTAGCAACAGCTGGACCTAATTAGTTAGTTTGGAGGGGGCAGGCCCTTTCACAGAGGACTCCATTGTTCCTGGGAACCTGGCAGGAGTCTTTATCGGTTCAGAAACCCAGAAGGAGCTAGCATTCTCCCTCTTGGCCTTGGGGCTGTCCTCCTTTCAAATGCTAATCCATAAAGCCACTCCAAGCCAGGCCTCAAAGGAAGCTCAGGGCTGAGGTGGAGCCCAAACTCTCAATTCCTTCAAGAGCAAGGCAGGTGTGGAATCAACACCTGGAAAGCAGCCAAATGGAAACCTGGAGCAACAGCTCAGAATGTCACATGTCAAATAGTTTAATTGGGTAATCATCTGAAGGAGGGTTTGTGCAAAACCTGTGGGAAGTCTGTACCAGGAGTGTGAGGGAAGAATCCAAGAACACAGTTCAGTCTGCCTACGCCTGCCTCAGCCCCACACAACCCAGGGCCCAGGACCTGGTTGGATCATTCTCTCCCAAGAGAGGCTCAGGAAACAGGATCTAGTGATCCCCACCTTAAGAGCCCTGGGCAAGCAAGCATTCCTGGAGCCGCAAGGGCACCCAGCCCCAAATGCCCACCAAATGTGACCAGTCCCAGACCACAGCAGGCAGTGGAGTGCAGTGGTACCTGTCCACCTACCTGACCTGGTTCACACTGCACGGGTTTGAGTGCTGGCCTTGCTGGGGATGAGCTGTGTGTCTTTGGGCAAGTCATTTCTCTGTGCCTCAGTTTTCCCATCTACAAATGGGATGATAGTTGTACCCACCTCTTAGGGGATTGTGATAATTAAATGAGCTCATACATATAAAGATCTTAGGATTGTACCTGGCCTTCAGCAAACAGTTATGCATCGTGATTATTAACCTTTTCTCCTGCTCTGGGTCACCTGCAGGTCTCCTGCTGGGATGATGGCATGCTTGTTTTCCATACTATGTGTCCAGCTTCTATACTACTCTGACTGTACCCACTCAGGGCTGACCTGGTTCTCTGGGCTTAAGTTGGTGACAGGGCCCTGTTTCCACCTATATGAACCCCCCACTCGGCCACCACATCCCTCTCCATTGCTGACCCATCGAAGGACTGCCAATGGGGCCTGAACCCAAATGACACGGCTCCCCATGACTCCAACCTCCTGGGCTGGTGGGAAGGATACCAAGCACTTTCCTCTTTTTGGGCAGAGCCACTGGCCAATTCTCCTGTCTCTCTATTCTCCCATTTCACACACGATGAGGTCCCAGAGGCCTTATATTCTAGCAAGGGGAAAGGTGGGTGTGCCTGGATCAACAAATACTTTTGCCTCCATTCTTCACTTTTGTCTTTTATGGCCCAGCTCAAATGTCACATCTTTGGTGTGGCTTTCCCTGATTCTCGTGGTAGGAATTCTAACATCACAGTTGCTCAACTATGATCTTGGACAAGTTCCTTTCCTCTGTCTGGAGTTTCCTCATCTGTGAAATGGAGATATTGCTACCAAACGAACCTGACAGGACACTGGGAGGATCCATTATAAGCCAATGGATGTAAAAACCTACCTCCCCTCCCCTCACGCTCCTTCCCAGGCACGGGAGATGGGGAGATACCCAAGTGAGCTGACCACACAGGTGTCTACAAAGCCTACAAAACCAAGCCCTTTCCTGGAATGGCCATTCCTCCTTCTTTACCCATGGAATTCCTAGTCAATCTTCCAGGACCAGCTCAAATATAATCTCTTCTGTGAAGCATTCCTATTGCCCCCCGGGAAAATAAATTTCTCTCTCCCATGTAATCCTGTAATTCTTTGTCTCTATTAAATCTATTTTTTTTAACTTTTATTATATTTAACTTATATCATTATTGCCTGGCCCCTCACTGTGCTTGGGGATTTGCTTGAGGTCAAGAACCATATTTCGTTCTTTGGGAGGAATTTCATGATGCCCAGCACGTAGTAGCTGCTCCATAAATGTTCATGAACTCAAGTTCTGTTTTGTGTGTTCCCTGGATTCTAGAGTGGGTTCTGGAGGCAAATCCTGCTGTATATGCAGGATCCTGACCCTATTACTGGTTCATCTGGAACCCACAACTGAATCTACAATCTAGTCCATGGAGTCTATGGAGAAGGGCTCCCACACAGCCTGGGAGTGGGATGGCCTTGCATTCCCACAGGGAATGCAAGCCAGGAGAGGCAGTGAGCTACGGCCGCAAGCCAGTAGAGGCGGTGAGCTACGGCTGCAAGCCAGTAGAGGCGGTGAGCTACGGCTGCAAGCCAGTAGAGGCGGTGAGCTACGGCTGCAAGCCAGTAGAGGCGGTGAGCTACGGCTAAAGGACTTCAGGAAACAGTGGGTTCTGGAAAAGCGAAATCATGTTTGTAGTTGAACGTGTGAGTTCATTAAGTGTTCAATGACTCGATTTTCTTTTTAAAAAAGTTAATAGCGTCTATGTATAATATGACTCTACATTTAGCAATTCTTCCTTCCTCCTGTAATGGTCACTGAAGGCAATTCGACACTCACGTTTATGCCAGGTCCCTTATCCACGCCTCACATTTTACCCCCGCAATGATATTTAAAGTAGGTAGTAGTATTCCCTGCATTTCATAAATGTGGAAATTAAGGCTGAGAGAGGATAAGGAGCATGCCCAAGGCCAAGGAGACTAAAACTCAGGGCTGATGGCAAAGATTTAGCTCTTCCTAGTCAGTATGCAATGCTACTTTCTCATCAGAGTGTCAAGTGCTTGCCAAGTACTGGCCTAGTCCACATAAATGGATCTGACATGTTTCCAGTCCCCTCAAGAAATTTGCATTCTGGTAGAGGAGGCTGATATACACATAATTAAAAACATGAAGCACAAAAAATATAACTATGGACTAGAAGTATGTGATGAATTGCAGGGGAGCCTGAGGGGGGTGTGAGCAGTTCAGCCTGGGGGGATCAGGGAGGGCAGAGTAGCCTAGTCTTGGGTGACTTTGAAGGCTAGCCTCCATTCTGATGGACAGAGAATGAGGAGAGGAGAGCACACAGATGTGGGAGGCAGAGAGGACCACATGTGTGAAGGGGCGGAGGGCCAGAGTGCCAGGCGTCCTTGAGCATGGGGAACAGATCAGCGTTAGCTAGGGCATGGGATTTCTGAGTAGGAGCTGGGCTGTGACAGGCTTGCTTTTGTCAAAATGCTGGACTTGTTTCTTTAAGCCTTGGAGGCTGCGGACAGCCTCAGAGGAGGGAAACGAGCTGACCTGCACTGGGCAGGAGGGAGGACCTGGGAGGATCATTTCTGAGTAGGAACTGGGAGGTAAATAGGGTCCTGCATCCTTCAAAAAGGTACCGTCAGCGCCCAAGGTCTCTGCCAGGGCTGGTTTCCAAATGAGAGTAAGAGAAAAGGAGTCTCTTTCCTGTTGAAAGAGCTGGGTTGAAGACCAGAACTGCTCCCGGGCCCCGGTGCAGCGCCCCCCACAGGACTGCAGGAGCATGGCTATTCTGAGTGATGAGGCCGTGTCAGTGTCCACAGCTGTACACCGCCCCCCCCCACCCGCCCCAGAAGATGAGATCTGACACACTGCCCGCTGCCAAGGGTGATGTGGGGCCAGAAAAGGAAGGAGGGGAACCGGCATCAGTCTCTGGGCTCAGCCTGCAAGGCTCAGCCCAAATGCTGGCTTCAGCACTGGAAGACTGCTTTTCCAAATTAACAAAAGATGTTTGAGATCCATGATTCCATGTTCATCATATAGCAAATGATTTATACACGGAGATTTATAAATTCTACGGAAACATGACACATCTCTACACAGTATACTGTATCTTTATATGTTCTAACACAGACTAAAACAATGTCCCATAACATATAATAAACACAAGCAACTTTTTTTATCGTCAGCATTAGAAATACGTATTGATAATTACCAGGCACCTTGCACTGAGGATTTTTGGAAAATACTCCCATTTTTCCTTTTTTATATATTTTTAAAAACATATCTTCTGAACTCATCATGGAAAAAAAAACAAGCAATCTTTTTAGAAAACTGACCCCGAATTCTTTGGCTCTGAAAGAAAACATAGTGCCAAATTTTTGCCTAATAAAATGACATTTTAAGTGGAATCTGAGTCAAGCCCCAATGAAGGAATGAATACTGGTTCTTTGAGTCAGCAAAAGAATTCAGTCTTTGGTATCCAACACTCCATTATTCATTGGCCTGAATTGGCAAGAGAGTTGTCGGCACTGTGGAGATGACCAGAAAAGCAAGGGTGGGGGTGGGAGGTAGGTGGATAATGAGAGAAAAACAATCTGAAATACCTCTCAGGCCAACTTTGAACAACATGTTGGGCATTTATCATCGGAGGTGGAGGAGCTCCGCTCTCCCCTTGCTAGATACTCTCTCAGCTCATTTCTCTGTGCATGGGGTAATTTCCTGAGCAAGTGCTTAAAATCAAGCCTTTGATTTTCATGTCGAGCCTTTGGCTCAGTCAGACATTGCCTCCAGAGTCCCATTAAGCAAGGCCAGAGGAAAGAATTGGTTCCCCTTTATGAGACAGCCCCTCCCTGAGCCCGTGCCCCAGGACGGCTCACCGGGGCCTGCGGAAGGTCAGGCCGTAGTGCTGACAGGCCAGCCCCACGGTGGGAGTGTACACGATGGGCATGAATTTCTCCACGTCTGACGTCAACACTCGGTAGAAGAGCTTCTCATTCCGGTCCTGGAGTGTCATGAGAATGATGTACCTTGGGAAGGGAGACGAGAACCAAGCTGGTCACAGGAGCCCCACAGGTGGCAGCACTAAGGGCCCTTGATGCCCAGACCCAGGGCTCCCGCTCAGCTGCTCACAATGGCACATTCATAGGCCAATCACCGTCTCTCCTCAGCATGGGTCTCATTTTCTATGAAATGAGGAGAATATCATCTGCCTTCTAGTACTTACTCTTACTCATGGCATAGGCACAATTCTAAATATTTTACATTAACTCATTTAAAACTCCCAGAGACTTGGAAGATAGGGGCTAAAATGCTGGCTATTTTAGAGATAAGGAGACTAAGGCACAGAGAGATGAAATCACTCACCCAGCTCTCATAGGAGAGTAAGGATTTGAACCTAAGCAATCTGACTCTAGAATCTCAACCGTGGTGCCAGGTGGCTAGTTATGTTATTACTATGTGGACACTGATGAATGACATCAGAATCATAACATGCTGGGGGTGGAGTAGGGTCCAGGAAGATACCGAACACACCAGTGGTATATGAACTGGGCTTTCCCACCCCAAGGGGCCGGTTCCTATCACAACCACAGCTCACAAGTGGCTGAGTACTCCTTGGTATGCTCCAAAAAAAATCTCTTTCTCACCTATTATTCCCTGAAGCCTAATATCACTAAGCCAGGAAAAGAGCCTTTCGTTCACAGTCCCGAAAATGCAAAAACCCTGGGAGAAAAAAAAACCCCAGGGTCTGAAATTCATGATAGGGTGTAGGTGACTACTGATATGACACCCTTTCTGGATAACAGTTTAGGAGAGCATGGAGGTACTTGAGCCCTGGCATGGGATGGAGTGGGACAGTTGTGCCCATAGGGGAGTGATCCCTGGGTGTGGTCCCAGAGTCCTGGGTTTGAATCCCAGCTCTGTTGTTTCCTAGTTTTGTCACTTTGGGGAAGTCACATGACTTCTTGGGGCCTCAGTCTCTTCTTCCTCCCCAAAGGCACTGGTCCAGAAGTAAAAAGAGTGTTTAGAAGGAAGGGAGGGTTTCTGCTTAGAACAGACAGCATCTCAGCTCATTACTAGCATGAGCATTCTCTTACTCAGTAGCCATTTGTACACATCTCTTCCCAATTCTGCATTCAGTAATGTCAAATGGTAACTTGAAATCGGTCATGGTTGGGAGTATTCACGTCATGGATACGGGCAAATGCTACAAATCAGGGCTCCCTCGGTGTCCCAGAACCAGTTAGTAAACATTTACCAGCGTACCATTACCCTTATCCAAAAGAAGCTGGGAAGCCTGCTTAGCATTTCCCCAAGCACCTGCTGAAACAAGGGATTCTAGGAATGAATGGGTCAGAGTAGTCAGCAGAGCATCAGGAGGAAGCTCTCTGGAGCTCCCAGAATCAGGCACAACCCCCCTGCTCCCTGGGCCTGCCCCATTTTCCCTGGCATATAAGTAAGATCTACCTAGCTGGAAAAAAAAAACAAAAAACAATGGGGAGGTAAGGATTTGGGACTTCTAATTTTGAGGAAAGGGGATTTCACATTAGACTTTAATTCTTCATAAATTTAACAAAGGAGGGAAGTTCAGGTTGTTCAAAGTTAGAGCATGTGTAATGTCGGTTGAATTCATTGTGTACTCTCTGGTTTGCTCTTCAGGGTACTAGACCTAGTATGAGTGGAATAAACAAGAGGGAAAGAGCATTTGACCTGGGCTGCAGTATGGCCTTGGAGTTAATGGGAGTGATATCCATAGCGTTCAGCCCTTCAGGAATAGAGGGAGGGGTGAGTAGGCAGAGGTTTCCTTATCCCCTACCATTTAGAGGCAATGGCTACTGTGGGGGGAGCACAGGAAGGTGGGTGCAGGATCACCCTAACATGCTGCTGAGCTCTACCCCTAGGGGGCAGCCACACCTTCAACGACCCCAAGTCTTGGCCATTAAGCTCTATAGATATGTAGGGAAAACCATATCCTCCCCCTAAATTTCTGCTGGAGCCCATAGCAAGGTGCCATATTTATTTTACAAGCTTTTGCATAGTGCCTCCTGTTATAAGTTACAGTTACTATGTAAGTGTTCTGAGCACATTAAAATACTAATGCATTTAAGCCTCATCATAACCCTATGAGTTAGATGCCACTGATAAACTCATGGTACAAATGAGGAATGGAGGCTAAGTAATTTTTGCTATTAAGTGGTAGAATGAGGATTTGAACTTAGTCTGACACTAGAGTCTAGTTTTGTAGCCATTAAGCTCCAATGCCTCCAGCTATAGCAGAGCAGAGCAGTTAAAAGCAGACTCTGGAGCGAACTGTGTTCAAATCCTGACTGTACCAAGTTCCTAGCCATGTGATCTGGAAGGTCAGTACCTTCTTTAGTGAAACTGACAAAGCTGACCCTGTGATCCTTCAGTTGGCTCTTCACGGAATATCCCCCCTGGGAGAACCCAGAGGGGCGGCAGGGTTATTAACGGTTCCCATAAACCTCTAACATACGACATCCTAGCTCCTTTTCAAGGTGTTGGGGTACATTTCCACTTTGCTCCCCCCACATTCCCTTCATACCAGGGACCTGGGCCATGGATCACTTCCTTGACACAGTTGTCCCACTTGCTCTCCTTCTTCCTGCTGAGTGAAATGCCTTCCATGAACCCCCCACCACTGTTTGCTGAAGCCTTATCAGTGCTTCCTGGGCTGACTCGGATACCACCATCTTCCAGAGGCCCAACAAGATTGCACCGGTTGGAAGTCCGTCTCCCTTCCCAGTACTGACACTGCCTCTGTCATAATAAGCCCCATCCCTCAGGGAGACCACCACCCTGTGGAAGGTGGGGCCGGGGCTGGGATCTCTCAGGGCTCTCAGTCTTTCCTACTGGACAGTACCAGAAAACCCGTGCGCCACAGGAAACACCTGAGCCCGGGGCTTGGGGAGAGAGAGCAGACTCTAGGCACTGACTTGTCCAGGTCGCTCTGCTGCCGCTCGTAGTATCTCATGATCCGCAGGAGTTGGACGTCCTGGCTCAGGAAGCAGGGGGGGATCAGGCCGTGGATTCCAAGCTGCAGCCTTTCTTCCAGTGTGAAGGCCATCCCCTGAGAGAACAAGAAAGAAACACACGCACATGAAGGGATATGCACGAAACTGAGGAACAGAGAGGTCCGGTCAGCAGACAGGCAAAAGTCACTGATTCAACAGTGGGCTCTGCATTCAAATCCCATCTCTGCCAATTAAACAGCTGAGCAATCTTGTGCCAGCTACTTTGACTCTCCTGAGCTTCAGCTTCTTCATGGAAAAAAATGGGGAAAATATCTACATTGTCAGCTTTTGGGGGTTAGTTTTTGTTTTTTAAGATATGTTTTATTTTTCAGAACAATTTTTGATTTATACCAAAAATGGGAAGATAGTACAGAGAGCTCCCCTATATCCCCTCATCTAATTTCCCCTATTATTAATATCTTATATTGGTTCAGTACATTCGTGAGAGCTAATGAACCTAAAGTGACACATTATTATTAAGTAAATGCCAGGGTTTATTCAGACTTCCTTAGTTTTTACCTAAGGCCCTTTTTGTTGTTGTTTTTACACAATCCCACATTGCATTTAGTCACCATGTCTCCTTAGGCTCCTCTGACAGTTTCTCAGACTTTCCTTGTTTTTGGTGACTGTGACAGTCTTGAGGAGTACCGCTCATGTATTTCATTCAGTACCCTTCTATTGGCACTGGTCTCCTTTTTCTCATGATTCTACTGGGGTTATGGGTTTTTAGAAGGAAGACCACAGAGGTGAAGTGCCATTTTGATCACATCAGATCAAGATCCATACTCTCAACATGATTTATCACTGTTGATATCAACCTTGATCATGACCTTGAATACCGGGCTGGGTCGTGCTTGTCAGGAATCTCTGCTGTAAAGTGACTTCTTTTTTGGAACTCTTCTGCATGGGAGATTTGTCTCTTCTCCCCCACGTATTTTTATTCAATCACTTATTTATATTAGAATGGACTCATGGGTATTTATTTTATACTTTGGATTATAAGCCAATACTGCTTTATTTATTTTGTTACTCAAATTGTTTGTTACTCAGCTTTGGCCACTGGGAGCTCTTTCAGTTGGCTCCTGTATCCCTTTAACATATTCCCTTAATTCCTTCCTCCCTCCTCCTCTCCACTTCCCTCCTTCTACCTCCCTCCCCTCAACTTCCCTCCCTTCCTTCTCTCTCCCTCCCTCTTTTTTTCTTTCTCTCTCTTCCTTCCTTCCTTCCTCTTCCTTCCTTCCTTCTTTTTCTTTCTTTCTTTCTTTCTCTCTTTCTCTCTTTCTTTTTCTTTCTTTCTTTCTTTCTTCTTTCTTTCTTTCTTTCTTTTTTCTTTCTTTCTTTCTTTCTCTCTTTCTCTCTTTCTTTTTCTTTCTTTCTTTCTTTCTTCTTTCTTTCTTTTTCTTTCTTTCCTTTCTTTTCTTTCTTTCTTTCTTCTTCTTACTTTCTGGGACAGGATGCTCCAGGCTCACCTTGTATATTGCCTGCCCCAGTCCTAGAATCAGCCATTTTTTTCCCAATGAGGCCCAATTCCTTCTCTGAAGCATGGTATGAGAACCCAAGATCTGGGCCCTACTTAATACATGTGCTACTTACTACTGGGATTTTATTGCTTCCAGTCCCTCTCAGCTGAAAGAGCAAGGAAATGAATCTATACTAAGGTAAACATAACTTCATACTAATGTCTCTAATCCATTACCACATGGATCATTCTAGCCTCATCACTTCACTAGTCTGTAAATTCTCACTCCACCCGTGAGAGACTTAGCTCCCGCCAGCTGCCATCCATGTACTTAGTCACTGGATTCCAGTATACACGTAGAACGGTATCGGAATGGTTAATTTACTCCACAATGGGAAACAACTTAGTACACTGGAGTTTGCTGCTTACAAGCTGTTCCTCTTGCCTTCAGTCTTACAAACTCCACTTATTCCCTGCATTACCTAGGTCAGCACTTTCCCTCCCACCCCCTTCACTGAGGTTGTATCATACATTTATAAAACAGTTACATTCATTCTCCTGTCACAATCTGCCTTCCTTCCTGGGATCCAACAGCCTATTAAATGACTTGAGAAAATCTGGATACATTAAGATCCATTCTTTGTACTGTAAAGTTCTATGAGTTTTGATAAATGCATAATATCATGAATCCATCATTACAGCATCATACAAAATAGTCTCACTGCTCCAAATATCCCATGTGCTTTACCTATTAATCCCTCCCTTCCTTCCCCAGGACCTCTGGCAACTACTGATTTTTTTTTTTTTTTTTACTGTCTGGACAGTTTTGCCTTTTCCAGAATGTCAAACAATTGGAATCATACAGTATGTAGCCTTTTCAGACTAGCTTCTAACCATAAGCACGTAAGGTTCATCCATCCATTTTTGTGGCTTTATAACTCATTTCTTTTTTTGTTTTTTAAAGATTTTATTTATTTATTTGAGAGAGAGAACATGAGCAGTGTGGGGGGAAGAGCAGAGGGAGAGGGAGAAGCAGACTCCCTGACTGAGCCACCCGGGTGCCTCATGTCTTTTTATCATGGGATGACATTCCACAGTCTATACTGTAGTTTGTTTCTCCATTTATCTATTCATCTTGGTTGCTTCCAGTTTTTGGTGACTATAAATAAAGTTGCTATAAATATTCATGCTCAGGTTTTTGTGTGGACATGAGTTTTCAAGTCAGTTGAGTAAATACGTAGGAGTGCAATTGCTAGATCATATGGTAGGACTATGTTTAGCTTTTTAAAGAAACTACCAAATGGTTTTCTAAAGTGGCTGCACTGTTTTGCACTCCCACCAGCAGCGACTGAGTTTCTCATGCCCCACACCGTCTCTAGCATTGGGTAGTGTCAGTTTTTTAAATTTTAGGCACTGTCATACTGTTATTGTTTTAACTTGCAATTCCCTATTGGCATATTGATGTTGAGGATTTTTTCATATGCTTATTTTCCATCTGTATATCTTGGTAAGGTATCTGTTCAGATTTTTTGCCTCTTTTTTGTTTTGTTTTTCTTATCGTTGAGTTTTAAGAATTCTTTGATCGACAGTTTCAATGCAACCCGCATCAGAATTCAAATGGTCTCTTCTGCAGAAGTAGAAAAGTCGGTCCTCAAATTCATATGTAATAGCAAGGGACCCTGAACAACAAAACAATTTTTATTATTTTTTAAAAAATTTTTAAAAGATTTTATTTATTTATTTGACAGAGAGAGAGACAGCGAGAGAGGGAACACTAGCAGAAGGAGTGGGAGAGGGAGAAGCAGGCTTCCTGCTGAGCAGGGAGCCCGATATGGGACTCGATCCCAGGACCCTGGGACCATGACCTGAGCCGAAGGCAGACGCTTAACGACTGAGCCACCCAGGCGCCCTCCCCAAAACCATTTTTAAAAAGAAGATTCTGAAATATAACACAGAGCTAAAGTAATCAAAATAGTGTGGTATTGGCATAAGGACAGATAAATAGATCGACAGAATAGAATCAAGAGTTCAGAAATAAACTCATACATCTATGGCAAATTGATTTTTGACAAGGACACCAAGTCCATTCAATGAGGAAAAGAACAGTCTCTTAAAGAGTTGGTGCTGGGACAACTGCATTTCCACATGCAAAAGAATAAAGTTGGACCCCTACCTCACTACCATATACAAAAATTAACTAAAAATGGATCAGTAACCTAAAATATAAGAGCTAAAATCATAAAACTCTTGGAAGAAAACACAGGGGTAAGTCTTCATGACCTTGGATTTAGCAATGAATTCTTAGGGTGATACCAAAAGCACTAGTAACAAAGGAACAATTAGGTAAATAGACTTCATTTAAAAATTTTCATGCAAAAAGGGGATAATTTATTAAGAAAGTGAACAGGGGCACCTGGGTGGCTCAGTCGGTTAAGCATCTGCCTTTGGCTCAGGTCATGATCCCAGGGTCCTGGGATCAGGTCCCACATTGGGTTCCCTGCTCAGTGGGGAGCCTGCTTCTTCTCTGCCTGCCACTCCCCCTGCTTGTGCTCTCTCTCTGACAAGTAAATAAATAAATAAATATCTTTAAAAATAAGTTAAAAAAAAAGAAAGTGAACAGAAAACCTACAGAATGGGAGAAATATTTGGAAATAGCATAAAGCATCTAATACCTAGAATCTATAAACAATTGCTACAGCAGAACAATCAACAAAAAGGAACCCAATTGAAAAATGGGCAAATAAATAACTTGAAAGTACATTTCTCCAAAGAAGATTTATAAATAGCCAATAGCACATGAAAAAAAATGTCAGCATCATTAATCAGCAGGAAAATGCAAATCAAAACTACAGTGAGGTACCGTTTCACACCCACTAGGATGGCTGGAATAAAAGCAACAGTAAATAACAAGTGTTGATGAGGATGTGGAAAAAGTAAAACCCTCATACACTGCTGGTAGGAACGGAAAGTTTTGCAGCCTCTATGGAAAAATAGTTTAGCAGTCCCTCAAAAAGCTAAACCTAGAACTACCATATGACCCCAGCAATTCCACACCCAAGAATATCCCCGAAGGAATTGAAAGCAAGGACCTGAACAGACACTTGTACATCAACATCCAATGCAGCATTATTCACAATAGCTTCAAGATGAAATCAACCCAACATATGAACAGATCAACAAGATGCATACGTGTATAGTGAAGATTTCTTCAAACGTAAAAAGGAATGAAGTTCCTATACATGCTACTTCGTGGATGAACCTTGAAAACATCATGCTAAGTGAAATAAGCCAGATATGAAAGGACAAATACATGATTCCACTTACATGAAATACCTAAAATTGGCAAATTCATAGAGACAGAAAGTAGAGATTTTTATTTTTATTTTTTTTTTAGTAATCTCTATACCCAGTGTGGGGTTCGAACTCATAACCCCAAGATTGTGAGTCGCATGATCCACCATTGGAGCCAGCCAGGTACCCACAGAAAGTAGATTAGAGATCATTAAGGGCCGAGAGGGGTGTCATGAGTTATTGCTTAATGGATACAGTTTCTGTTTGGGATGATGACGTATTGGGATGATGATGGCGATGGTTGCA